CCCACCTCCACCGCCTTAAGGCACCAGGGAGCCGTGATGCTCTCCCTGGACCGGTGCAGGGAGCACTGGGAAGCCAGTAGCTAAGCCTCTGCCCAGCACCCTGTGCAGTGCAGCCAGCTGCTGTGCATGCCCCTGCAGCAAGCGAATGCACTGCATGGAGGCTCCTGCGCGCCGGTGGCTGCCCTGGCCCTTTGGAGGGGCTCCCTCCAAGTCCCACATCCATTGCCAGCAGCGTCACCCACCACCTTCCCTGCACCGACAGGGAACTCATAGCCAGTCCCAGGGCACGGTGCCCAACCCCTGCCAGTGCACAGTGCTGGCAGACCAATGCCTAGTGGACTCTTGTGGGGACCGGGACATCTCAGGGCAAAGCACATGCGCTGCCACTTCTTGCTGGGGAGCAGTGCAAGCTGCACTGTTAGCATCCTCTGTGATTTGAAGGCATGGGCAATGCACCCTGCCCTGTGCCACCCAGCGTCACAGACTTTCCTCCGGTTTAACACACAGCGTGCACCAGCACACTGTCCCTTCTGCCTCTCAGCTGCCCTTTCCCCCGCTGCCTGGCCACTGCTCGGTGCCAGCTTCTCCCCAAAGCAGAGCCCTCCCGATTAAGGTAATGTCTAATCTCCTTAGGAATTGCAGAGTCCAATGCGCCACCCCCTGCTACCAGGAGCTTGCAGCTGCTGCTGGGCATTGCCGTGGTTCTGGGACATGGGGGCACGATGTACTAGCCCCTGCTGCACAGCGGTGAGTCCCCAGCTCTGTCTCGTGGGGTCAAGACTGGCCACGGAGGTGCCGGCTGGCAAGTCTGCTGTCCTCTGGGCCTCCCTTGGGCCTTAGGCTGGTCACAGTGCCAGCCAGCAGTGAGCCCCCTCCCCAGACTGCTCCCCCCGGCAGGGCTGCAACCGTCTCCCCAGTCCGCTGCGCACGGAGGCACTGTGTCACCGGCTGCCACTGCGTCCCAGGGATACGGGCCGTCCAGAGCAGCGAAAGGTGCCCGCCTGGGCTGCTCGCTCAGCAGCCGCCGTGCTGGGAGCTGGGGCTGGGCTCCGGCACCGCGTGCAACCATGTGTTTCTCTTGCACAGCCGCAGGGGGCTTGCAGGCGGGCGATAATGGCACGTGTGCTGTGGATGGCTTGCGTGTTCACAGAGACACGTACCAGCTGCACGAGTGTTACCTGACAAAGAGCGTGCATTGCACACTCATCAATAGATCGCTATAGCTTCTGTCCCCCACATGCCAAGCTCAGTGTGTCCTGTCCTGGAGCTGATGGGACCCTGTGCACGACTCAGATAAGCTGCTGCTTTTTCATACCCTGACAGATGCCAAGAGTTCTGGGCGACGCCGGAAGGAAAGGCCCCTGCACGGAGAAACGAGGAAGGACACCCCCTGGAAAGGTGGCCTGCCCCGGCCTCAGTGCAGCGCTGGCCTGAGCCCTCAGCTACACCCCCCCGGCACGGGTCCAAGTTCCTCGCCGGGACCAAGGCACGGTGCAGGCGGCCCTTCCACGTGCAGCTCTTTGCATGACTTGCCCTGTAGCTTTGGCTGCATTGCCCCCACGCCCTCGCTGCCCCTCTCACTCCTGCTGCCACGGAGCGGCTGGCGTGCGCACAGGGAGCGCTCTGCACCCGGCGTCCGTGCCCCGGGAAGCCCCAGGGAGGCTGCGCTGGACGCTGCTGGGTCCAGGCTGCCAAAGTAACTCGGGCAGCTTCCCAGTCACTCCAGGTGCCGGCTGCTCCCGGCTGGGTCTCAAGGAGCCTCTGCCCGGGGCCGGACAGGGCGGCCTGGCAAGGCCATCGGGACGCCTGAGTGTTGTCGCCTGCCCCGCAGCCCCAGGGCAGCCAGGCGAGGGCACACAGCCTGCAACATGCGGCCAGGAAGATCCCTCTGCCCGGGGCTAGCGGAGGACGACGGGACCCTGCCGAGCCCGCGGCAAACGCCAGCCCCCCAGTCTGCTAGCATTCGCCCTCCCGTTCCTTTCAGCCATCGCTCTCCTGCACAGGGGTCCCAATCCTGGGGGCCGGGGCTGGTGACACAGCAAACCCTCTCCCAAGACACTGCCGCCAGCTTCCTGCTGGCCCTGCAGCCGCGTGTGCTGCCCTTTCCTGCCTGGTGCTGCAGCCCCCAGCGGCCCCTTCCCCGTGCTCACAAATAAAGTTGCCTCAGCAGGGTTTGGGGCATGGGCTGTCTTGTTCCCAAGCGAAGACGATGCTGCTGAAGGGGCTTTGCACCGGCGCTAGCCGGGATCTCCCTTTGACCCCTGTGCTCCGCTCCGCAGCTTGGCCGGGCCGGGATCTGGGCGACGCAACAGGAAAGACGGGGCCAGAGCTCTTGCTTCCACCCTCTCCAAGGCGAGCAGGAGCTTGCCAGGGCAGGGCAGCCGCCCACCTGCCCCATCCCCACGGGGCAAGAAGCTGCCGCAACAGCCAGTGCAACCTGCAGGGGCCTGCGCGGTGCCGCCCCGAGACCTGCCTTGCTGCCCGCCAGACCCAGGGGCAGGCAGGTCCCCAGCACAGCACCACCCGACAGGTTCCCCCGGGCTCGAGGCCCTGCTCAGAAGGGGCCTGCGGGTGGGAGAGGACTGCAGGAGTGGGGTGCAGGATGGCACCCTGTAGCTTGCTCCCGTTTAGCTGGCAGTCCTGCACCATGCCCCCTCTGCCCGTGCACCCGGGAGGCAGTGCAGCCGTTGCACGCAGGGAGCCACCAGGAAGAGGATCATGAACCCCCCGCCCCAGCTTTCGGGGGGCTAGCGATCCCAGAGCACGGCAACCTACGGCCGAGCTGGCCGGCAGCGCCCCAAAGCAGGAGGCCAAGCGAGGGCTGAACCCACGCGCGCTGGGCCGAGGCCCGCCAGCCCCGATGGCAGACCCCCGTCCCGGAGGCCCACATGCCTCTCCCCAGCCCGGTGCCTCATCTCGGGGCTTGATAAACATCTGTTGCCATAGTGACTGGCTCTCCTGCTTTCACTGCCTCGGTTTTCCCCACTAACGAGATGAAACAGGAGACGCGCACGCCACTCGGGGAGGCAGGAAGCGCGGTGGGGGCGGGGGTCCAGGCAGCACGGCCCAGTGCGAGCCGCCTGCTAAGCAAACAACGTGGAGGTTCCTGCCGGGGGAGAGGCCTGGACCGGGCCGCCGCAGAGCCGCTCGCACGGCGATGTCGCGATGGCGCCCAGAGCGTGCTGCAAAGTTCGACAGCATCACCCCCATTTTACAGACAGGGGAACTGAGGCACAGCTCAGTGCCCTGACTGGGCCAAGGTCACACAGCGAGCTGCCAGCAGAGCCAGGGATGGGACCCAAGAGTCCTGCTCTCAGAGCCAGGAAGCAGCCAGGAAGTGCTGGCTGGTCCGGGATGGACTCGAGTTCTTCTTGGGGTGGGAGGGTGCAATTCGCGTGGCTAATTGCCCTTGGAGCGAGCGAGACTGCAGCGGGAATGAGAGGAAGGGCTGGCTGTGTACCTTGCCCGCTCGGGCGTTGAGGGTTGAATGAAATAAAATGAAAGGTAAGTTTAAAACTAACAAAAGGAAGATTTTTTGCCCAGCCGGTCGTGGCAGCGGGGCGCTCGCAGCCCCCAGATGCGGCGGAAGCTGCGAGTCCAGCCACATTCACCCGGGGATCGGACCCGCGCTGGGAGGAAGGGGCATCGGTCACCATTGAGCCTGGGAGCGAGGGCACGGCCTCCGAATCAGAGCATTGCGGAGGCTGCGAAGCAGAGAGGAGCCGTGGCTAAAACCCTGCTCGGAGCCAGTCGCTCTCCCCTCCAGCCTCCGCTCTCCGCCCCGCGCGACACCAGAGACGGGGCACGAAGCACCCGGGTCAGACCCAGGAAACAGCAGCTCCCGCGCTGCAAAGCTGCTGGCGACCGACACCGCGACCCGCTCATCCTCCGAGCCCTCCTCAAGCAACGTCGCGTGCCCCGCCGGGCGGGGGGCACGGGCCTGCAGGGAGACACGCAGCAGGGACCTCTAAGGGGAGCTGGGCATTTTGCAAAGGTGCGTTTCGGATGGGCCTCGAGGACCGAGAACAAGAAGGACCAGGAGCCTCTGACGTGCCGTGTTCCCAAGCAGTTCGCTGGGTTATTTCTGAGAGGAGGCGAGTGCAGGAGAAGCAACCTGTCAACCCCACCTGCCTCCCCGCCCTTGGCTCCCCTCCCCTGCCCTTCACACAGTCTACCCCGGCCTCCGGCTCAGTCCCAGGGGCCTGCGCTAGGGCGGTGGCTTCCATCGCCCATCCCTGCGCAGAGGGGCCGGGGCCTGCTCCCCCCTTGCTCCCCGGCGCCCGCCCGCTGCACAGCCTGGACGGACAGAGGCGTGCAAGGCGGGACACGCGCAAAGGGGCCGCTGCCTGGGGTGGGGAGCGCGCAGGGCAGCGTCAAGCTCGGGCCCAGC